TCATTGGAGGAGCGTTGGAGTTTAAAGAATTTGAATGACTTGGTTGATAATTTGGTACATTAGAATTGTATTGAATTGAATTAACGTTCGCGTTCTGCCTTGAATTCGTATGAGGTGAGTCGCGAAAAACTGGATTATGATTTGTCGAATTTCGATAAGGTCTTCTATTAATTTGATTGCTCGAGTTTTGGTTTAAGTTTTGAGAATTAGAGTTTTGATTCCTGTTATTATGTTGATAGTTTGAGTTTTGGAAGTTAGAGTTTGGATTTCTATTATTACATTGATAGTTTGAGTTTTGGGAATTAGAGTTTTGATTTCTATTATTACATTGATAGTTTGAGTTTTGGGAATTAGAGTTTTGATGAGATTGGTTAGTATGCTGTCGATTAACATGGAAATTCATCGAATTATTAGATCTTCCTGCATTATTATTATATTGTCTTTTTCTACATTCTTCAATAACATGCCCTTGTTTTTTGCAGTAACGACAAAATATCTGATTATTCGTAAACAAAGTTCTTACGTTTGCATCATGATTTCTTGTTTTGAAACAATTATTTGTAGAATGCGAGTTGTTTTTGCAATTTTTGCAAAACTGAGTTGAACTGCGCGACATAGCCACAGCGCGTTCTTCAGAAATAGCTGCACTATACGCAGAATTAATCGAATCAAAATCTTTCCATCTCAACATTCGCGAAATTTCGGGTTTCGAATGATAAATAAATCTATTTAAAGCAATTTCGTTCAACATTTTCAGTTTTCCAGGAATCTCTTCCGGTTCTGTGCAATTTTGTTGAGTAGTAGATATCAATCGCGAGTTAATTGTTTCCAAACATTGAAAAAAGTCTTTCACTGATTCGTTAGGACTTTGTTTGCAATTATTTAGCTCTTCCATTAATTGAACGTAATGTTTTTTGTCTTGATATAAAGTTTTTAAAGCGTCTTTTAAGGTATCCCAATTATCAAAGTTTTGGGTAACTAACTGTTCTTTAGCTTTGCCACCGATTCGAGATAAAATAAAATATAAAAGAGGATTTTTCTGATCGTCCTGTGCTAATACATTGGCATTATTACAATTCGCTAAAAATTGCCCTAATTCATGACGATTGCCATCAAAACTATTAGGTATTAGTTTGCATAAAAAATCTACGGAAAACCTACCATTATTTGGGTTAGAATTTGACGAAGGAAGTTGATTAAAAATGTTTTGAAAAGTTTCTAATAATATTGTTTGTAGGTCTGGGTTTACGGCAGGAGGAGTCATAGTGGCATATAAGTATTAATAAAGGAGTTAGACAAACAAAAGTAACCTCATTAAGAGACAAAAATCACTTACCAAAAAACTTGAAAGCTAGTGGCTACACAACAACTGTGATTCAATCCAATACTGGTCAACGCTGATGATAGCTTTGGCTGACTATGGTATGTCTTGAATCTTTGTATCCAAATCCTGCTGGATCTTGCTAGATACTTCTGAATCGTACCGACCGCGCCAAAATCTGTTGTGATCCTTCAGTGTTTTGCCTTGGTTAAAACTACTTTTGTTTTTGGTTTGAAACTTGTAGCTTTATTAGGTAATGGAATATAGAATGAAATTGAACTACAGCAAAAGTAAGACTTATTTTAGAGAGAGTTTTAACAAAATGTGTTACTACGACTGAAGCTGTCTTAAGACTGTCTTCTTGCTTCACTAGATCTCTTACAAATCGACCTTTACATCCCTTCTAAAACGTTTCTAAAACCTACATAATTACAACTGGAAAACCCTAAATACATATTGGCAATAAATGACAGTCTGTTCGCCCAAAGAATGACCATTAAGGATATTTGGGAATTTTGGGGTTTATGGTGGACAAATGTTTAATTTATTTACATACAATATCTTTGGGTTCTTTAACAGAAAGTCTGGGTCATATAATAATATTGCTTTCGGCGACGGCGAGACATTATTTGGGAATTTTGGGGTTTATGGTGGACAAGTGTTTAATTTATTTACATACAATATCTTTGGGTTCTTTAACAGAAAGTCTGAGTCATATAATAGTATTGCTTTCGGCGACTGCGAGACATTATTTGGGAAAGTATTCGAGGGTCGTAAAAGGTACAATGTCATGATATTATGGAGGAATATGACATCATAAAGAAATATCAGATTTTGTTTACTTTTGAAAATATTTATTAGCCTAAAAATTCAAACAATTTTTACAAAATATTGGCCCACTGACTAAAAAATCATTATATTATCACAGTTTAAATAAATAAAACTGCTAAATTGGAAACATAATTATTAGGTATACCTACTACTTGTAAAATTTACATTATATTATATACCTTCAAACTTTTCCAACAAGTGGGAGTAGTGGGACAACTTGTTTGCCTCCAAAAATTCTTGTATTGGGGCCATCACAAGTATTTTCAAACAGGATTGCAAGATAATTTTGGTCCCCTGACGTTGACGCAGTGATATCCTGGGCAACTCCCATAGGAAACGGGATATAACTGTTCAAATTGAAAAGTAGTCAGACGTCCGAGTAGGTCGTAGGCAGCACGTTACACTATACTGCTAGGCACTACACAACTGGGTTGGAGGGCATCGGCAGAAACTTGAATTTTGGATAAGATTTTGGAATATTCCATCAAAAAACAAGATTCTTGGCCCAAATAACAAGGAGCTTAACAAATATGCAATAAAAGATTATTCTTGGTATAAGAGAATATAATTTCGCCTGAAAGCAATGTCATTCGAGAGTAATTTTAAAAAATATCAAGAACCACGAAATTCTCAACACAAAGTAATTTTTCTTCATGCAATAGATTAACTCTTCATATAAGACAATTTATTTCAAGATCACTGAATACCTAGAGGTAAGGGGAGCTGTTTTTTCAGTGTAGATTTTGAATAGCAATAATTTCGTTTTGTTGAGTCAAGACATTTGCAACTACCGTTAATTTTGGGTCGCACATGATTTTAGATGTAACTCTTTGAACTTAACCTTTTAGTTTATCCAAATACTCAATTATAGTTTCTTTATTTGTTTTAGTGGTATACATAAGCTCTTGCACCAAATTAATCTAGAATATTGATCACTATATTTAATTCTCAACGCTTCTCTTATAGAGTAAAAATCAAACGAGAAGCCACTGTCATCAGCGCTGACAAAGAAAGCAGATTTCCTTTTCTCTGCGTCCCTACCATTTAAAGTGAGGCAAACGATAACCCGTGTGGCTTCTTCTCGTTCGATTTCTACTCTATCGGTCCATGTTTGTAAATCAGGACGTGCCATAGGAAAATTTCCCGCGTCCTTTATTCATTTTGATTTTATGGCGGTAACCACATATTCTTTCTGGGCATTTTCACCGGTGAATAGGTTTGATAGAACTCATTGATGTTTCTTATAAAATATTCTAAAAAAGGTTTGATAAGTTGAACATTGATTTCAAATTTTCACTCATTGTTAGGTACTGTTGGTCTTTGATTTTGGTTACTTCTTGAACAAGAATTATAAAGATGAGTTAAATTAAATTGAGTTAAGAGATTCTCAATTTCTTCTTCAGAATCTGACATATTATATCTTTCTTATTAAAAGAAATTATTTTTAAATTTAAAAAATTAGACATTTAAACATTAATTTTTATTTTAAAATTAAAATACAGAGGTGATAAAAGAAAATATGTGGATAAAATTGCTACAGCAAAAGCGTGAAAACAAATTAAACATTCCTTATGGGACTGCGCTGCCTTAAATAAGAATTTAATGCCGAAATAGCAACTTGATGTTTACTTTACAACAATGTATTTAGAAAGTCATAGAGGAAAGGGGTAAGCTCATTGAAGCATATAAAAAATAGACAATTAATTATTGAATAGCGTGGCAATTGTGTAATATAACTAGTGAACTAATTTTTATGAAGAAGTAAATATTCAAGTTTGGAGAAATATTTCCTTTTTTCAATTATAAAAACTCTGTAGCATGACAGTATATCATCGCAAGCAGCAGAGAGTGTAAGAAAATTCTCTGGAATATCAGTGAGGATGAATAAAGTGACTCTGGATAATATATTAAGTCAGCATTAATTTATCTAATTTATGAAATCTATTAAACGAACCTATAATCGACTATGCAAAATTGAAAAAATTAATGACGACAGATCTTAAGAACAAATGAGATGAAAGAACTACTCGGTTTAGAAAAGAATTAAAAACTTTTTTTTTTACCCAATTCAACATAGGAAAATAATTTTTATTCAACTGATTCAAGTTTACTAGAGTATTCAGAAAGGCCAGAAATAACCAATAATGCCTCATCAAGTTCTCTCAGACATACAAAGACCGGCACAGGAACATATAGCTACTATTTTTTTTCAGAAACATTTAGCAAGTAAATATTTACCTAAGAATAGGCCCTATACACAATTAAGTCCATTGCTCAGTACTACTATTCTGAAGGTATGAAATAGACAAAAAGGTATGTACCTACCTACTTGAATGAGCATCAAATTGGAGTAATTTGCGCTGTGTTTATAATTTCTAATTTAATTAGGTTTATAAAATTATACCTACTATATCCCATGTTCTTTTTGTCTTTCTAATCATTTCAGAAAAATATGAAAGTTTCTGTGCACTGCAAACTTTAAACATTATCAGGATTATCACCATTATATCTACTTATGAAAGTTTTAGAGATTGGATTTGAAAAAAAAACTTACCAACTTGAGACATTAAAAAATAACTAGCTTTTTATTATTAATACATTTTTTCTAGAACTCGAATTTAAAGTTTTATAATTTTCACAGAAATTTCAAACAAAAAATTATTAGAATTTAAACTCATCATGAATAAGCTTATTGATTATCTATGTCTAGGTTTAAAAAATTGCCGTTATATAGAAATTGGGAGATATCGTTGGATTATACAAGAATATTGGCACGCATCAACCTTTAAGGTATAGGGTCAATGAGTTGTGCAATATACCATGAGACACAAAATAAAATAAACCGGTAAAAGAACTTTGTCATCTTTATTTAAATGCCATATTTTTACAATAAATGTATTTATTATGAGTAAATAATTGCGTTAATCATTTATAAATAAATTATTTTAACATCTGAATTTTAATCTAGGATTATTTTCAACTTCTTGCTAGATATCTTAGAACTAGAAGTATGCCTTATAATGCTTAGATAACATATGCAATATTTATCGACTACACATAGATCACAATAGAAGATTGGCGTATAGTTTTTTTTTTGTTTTTTAACTAAAGTTAATCAAATTGCTAAAGTATTGAGCACAAATATTTATACGGAATGAAAAAACAATATCTATTTTATTTTATTTTTTTGAAAATAATAATCACATAATTTCCAGCCACTTAGAAAATATAAAATTTATCTTTATTTATACATCTAAAGCCTTTAAGAAAAACGTCTTAATTTAATTTATATTTAGTGCCTATTATTAATTTCCTCTGATTGCCTCATTAAATTTTTTAAATAATCAATCATATGCTTGTTACGAGAATCCAAATGTTGTTTCATCATTTCTTCCTCGAACAATCTATGGGTGGAAGGAGGCACGCCAAGATTTCTTCCGAAACGCATAAAGTTTGAGTTTCTTCCAAATCTCAGATAGTTTTCGTGACGTTTTAGGGCTTCAGAACCGGAGCTGGCTTCTCTTTTTTCACGGTTGTTCTTGCTTTCTTCTTTTATGCTTCTACCGAATCTAAGAAAACTGGTCTTGCTTCTCGAGGAACGTTGCTGAGGATCTTCGGTAAGTCTGAAATAAAATTTAGAAATTGAATATTTCATGCGAAACTCAATTGGTTGAAAAATTTTGTGCCTCAGACCAAAGACAATACTACTACGTTCTACTTCGTAGTAGTATTGTCTTTGCTCAGACTAATTTTAAACAAATATTATTATTTTGATGACTAAGATGATGATGGTTTATTCTTAATTATACTCTTAGAGTAGGTATACATTATTGTTTGAGTTTCAGTAAACTAAGTTATAGTCTAAGAGCCAGCGTCGAAAAAATTCTCTGAATTTACTAAAGCCTAACATCGTTATACATACAGGGTGGCCAATTGAAAACGAAACAGAGGTGATTTTGGGCTCCCCAAGACATTTAAGAAAAAACCCTCGTACCCGTCGATTTTTGATTTAAGGGGGAACCATTTTTCTGGTGGTTTCATCCCCTAGGGGGCAAAGCCCTAGCGGGGGTGGCAAGGGCCCCCAAAATTTTAAATGGAATGAGGGGTCGAGTGATACCTTATTTTGAAGCTATTTTTATGTAGATTATAACCCCCGAGTCTTACATCGCTACTATCTACCTAGCCATTACAGGGGCTAATTAAAGTTACAAAAACATGTTAGAATATTTTTATTTAAAAAAATGCTTTAAAAACAAAATCAATCAAGTAAATGCTGAAAATGACCTCAGAAGAAAAAATCTAACGGGCTTAAATCTGGAGAACGCGGGGGCCTCTCCTTCGAATCCATTGTCCTGGAAACCTTTGGTCCAAATATTGACGAATCACTGCAGCATAGTGGGGTGGCGCACCATTTTGTTGGAATATTAGACGGTTTTCCATGTATCCGTTATCATTCTCTAGTATCTTCACCAATTCTGGATGAATCGCATCTTCTTATCACTCTAGGTACATTGCTCCTGTTAAATTTATAGGTAAAGAAGGGGTCTATTATACGGTTACCAAAAATGCTAGCCTAAACACTCAATTTCTCGGGATGTTGCGTATGTACCTCACGAAATATGTTTTCTGGGATTTGAATTAGCCCAATAGCGGCAGTTGAGACGATTCACCGTACCGTTCAAGAAAAAAGGAGCATTCATCAGAGAAATATACAAACTGCTGCTCCATTTATTGAAAAAAAATAATTGGGTTATGAGTTTTTCAATGGTGAGGGAGGAGGAAATAAAACGAAAAAGGGGGTTAGTAGCACATCAACCAAAATACCATTTAATTATACTCCATTATTTAATACAATTTTTTTATATTCAATACAATATTTATTTAATACAATATTTCCAGGTATAATACGTACGAAATAACGTCCTAGGGCATTATGGAGATGTAGATTATTTGAGTGTTTGGGCTAGCATTTTTGATAACCGTAAATAGGCCCCTTTTTTACCTATAAATTTAACAGGAGAAATGTACCTAGAGTGGTTAGGAGTTGCGATTAATCCAGAATTGGTGGAGATACTAGAGAATGATAACAGATGCATACACTAATATTCCAACAAGATTGTGCGTCATCCCATTATGCTGCAGTGGCTCGTCAATATTGAGTGGCCCCCGCATTCTCCAGATTTAAGCCCGTTAGATTTTTTCTTCTGAGGTCATTTTCAGTATTTACTTGACTGATTTTGTTTTTAGAGCATTTTTTTAAATAAAAACATTCCAACATGTTTTTGTAACTTTAATTAGCCGCTGTAATGGCTAGGTAGATAGTAGCGATGTGAGACTCGGGGGTTATAATCTACATAAAAATAGCTTCAAAATAAGGTATCACTCGACCCCTCATTCCATTTAAAATTTTGGGGGCCCTTGTCACCCCCGCTAGGGCTTTGCCCCCCAGGGGGTGAAAACACCAAAAAAATGGTTCCCCCTTAAATCAAAAATTGACGGGTACGAGGGTTTTTTCTTAAATGTCTTGGGGAGCCCGAAATCACCTCTGTTTCGTTTTCAATTGGCCACCCTGTATTATATATAACATATGTATAAATAACAGTAATGTTAGTCAGTCAGTTAAATAGCGGAACCGTGCTGGTCAGTCAGCCCCAATAAATGTAAAAATCTACAAGAAATAGTAATGTTCTGAACAAACCTATCAATTTATACTTCAACCCATAGATATCTTCAACCTACAATTTTGAATTGTGACTGTCACGCTGACAGAACTGTCAGCATTTTTGGGAAAAAAAAGAACACAAATTTCAAATTAATGTCACAGATTAATGTTTAGATGTAGATTTGTATAACTCAATTTTTTGTAACTGAAGAAGCGAATAAACATTCGCGAAAACTTTTACGAGAAAAAAGAGTTTTTCTTAAAAAAAAAAAAATATTTGGTCGTATCCCCACTATTTAATAATATAGTATCCTAAATCGAGCCACGAAAAATTCATAATCTAATATATAATATGTATAACGATCTTCAGCCACAGTAAACTCGTTGCATTGCCTAAGTTATATCTAACTTTAACGAGACACCCTAGGTCCTTGTCCAAAGTTCCGCTTGACTGACCGCGCTATATTTATGTACATAAGTATTATTATTTGGCTTTAGTAAATTCAGAAAATTTTTTCGGTGCTGGCTTTCCGTGTATTCGTAATTTAATTCAAAATCGTTCTCGTAAGATGCACTCCTTCCCTAAATAAAGTCACACAAAGAAAATTGAATTTGAGAGATTGTTTCCTTTTGATAAAACTAAGGGATGTGGAAGAATAGAGCATTAACAGGCGGATGTGTACCTACGTTTTATACGGTGCATAGATTTAATTCCTACGTGTTTTAAATAGAAAGCTAGAGTTTATGCTGAGAATAAGACGTTGTATTGTATATTTTGGAAATTCTGTTAAATCAGAATATTTACTAAATCGCTTGAATGCTTTTACTGTGACTTCTCTTTTTGTATATTATTGGTGCAAAATAGTTAGGTATTTATGTATCAAGGGAATTATGAAGGTTTTATTACCACATGGGAAGTAGTAAACGAAACTGTTGCGGAAATAACCCACAACAAGTTTAAATTTTGTTATTTCTAATTTAATATAATTTTCCTCTCTATTATTTACCATAAAAATAGTATTCTAAAAATAGATGCCTGTAAAACGGGCAACAACAACCCTTTGAACCGGTAAAATTACAGGTTTCTTCATTACCTTATAAGGCAGTGAACCCCTCGCGGCTGTGATTGGACAGCCGCTACACAACATCCCTAGTTTTTTGCGACCTCCTCCGTGGCAGAGCTAGTCGACGCACATTCGTTAGTACTATTAGATTAAGCGAAGAGTTCGCACCCTCGCGCCCTCTGAATGCTCTCCAGAGGCAAAAACCCCCAAAAACCCCCGTTCTATCTATCTATCTATTCAGCCTTCTTCAGTCCATCTTTGGACGTAGGCCTCCCCCAGTCTTCTCCATTCCTCTCTGTCTGTTGCCATGTTCATCCACCTGGTTCCAGCGTGCTTCTTCAGGTCATCAGCATACCTCATCTGAGGTCTTCCTCTACTTCTTTTATTTTCCCAAGGTCTCCAGCTTAAGATACATTTATTTCATCGGTCATCTTTTTGTTTGATATTGTGACCTGCCAATTTCCATTTTAGTTTAGCTACCACCTTTTTAACGTCTCTCGTTTTATTGCTTATCCACTCGTTCCTCTTTTTATCTATCAGTTTCACATGTAACATTTGTCTTTTCATTGATCTTTGTGCTTTTGTTATTTTATCCATGTTTGACTTTGTAAGTGTCCATGTTTGGAATCCAAAAGTGAGAACGGGAAGTATACATGGATTAAAAACTTTGGTTTTGAGGTATTGTGGATATTTTCTATTTTTCAAGATGTAGCTCAATTTGCCGAATGCTGCCCAAGCTAATTTACTAACTCGTCTCTTAATTTCTGCTGTTTGGTTTTCTTTGTTGAGTTTAATAATCTGTCCTAGATTGTCTATTTTTTCCTGTCCTATTCTGATTGTGATGTCATCGTCTGTGTTCGTTATTGTTTTAGTTCAAGCGTAGTTCATATTGAGACCTATGTTTTTAGCTGCTGCGTCAAGTTCTTCCAGCATTTCCGTCAGTTCTTCTTTCTTATCAGTTATTAGGGCGATATGATCCGCGTATCTTAAGTTGCTCAAGTGTTGTTCGCATATTTTTATACCTTTTTCTTCCCAGTCTAGTTTTTTAAAAACATCTTCCAGGGCCTGGTTGAAAAGTTTGGTGATATTGTGTCGCCTTGTCTGACACCTCTTCATATGGGTATTGGTTTTATTCCCTAATGGATTTTAATAGTTGTTGATGCTTCGCTATATATGTTGGTTATAAGGTCTATGTATCTGTAGTCTATTCTGCTATTAATTAATGAGCTCTTCACTGCCCAGTGTTGAACACTATCAAAAGCCTTTTCAAAGTCGATAAATGCAATAAGTATACAGTGAGGGGCAAGCTACTAGGTATATAGGAAGTAACCTGTCGAATTTACAGGCGTCCGCATGTCAGAAAAAAACAAATCAATTTAGCGCTAACCTAGTGACAGCCAGGTAAAAATTTTCTTGGGTTGTTGATAATTTTAAAAAATATGGTTGTGTTTCTCCCCGAAACCGAAATGATGTCCAGTAAAATAATAAGGATCAAGAAGCCGAATGAATTATGTCGTTGGTTGTTGGCATTAGTTAACGAAACTCCAACTATTTCTACTCGTGCGCTTGCGCACGAGATTTACTCAAGTACAAGGACGGTGAGGAAGCCACAGAAAAAAAAAAGGATCGTTTGTACAAAGTACGAAACTCCAAAAAAATTGATCCTGATGCAAGGACAACATCATGGCGAATGGAGTTTTGTGAAACTGATTAATGAAGATTTTCTTAGAAGAATTGTCTTCACAGATGAAACGACATTTCAACTGCATTGTCGACATAATCCTAGTCACACCCGTTATTAGTCTAAGGTCTACGGAGAATTTACACAGGTATTTTGAACTTAGAGCCCAGCGTCCTCAAAAGGTAACTGTCTAGAGCGGTTTGTATGGAGAACATA